CTGATTTTTATTTTAAAAAATCAAGTTGATTTAAATTAAAAAAATCAACTGATTTAAATCAACTGATTTAAATCAACCCAACCCTGCCTGCTAGGTCTCAGGGGTAGTCGACTGCTGATTTTTTAGCGAGTCCTGCAATGCCCCTGATTTTTATGTATGTGACCTTTCCTACTTCAGAGGGCCCCTTGCTTTCAGGCAACCACAATCTGATTTCGATGGTACTCCTATAGGCTATGTTTTTATACTGATTTTTCAGTTTTGATAGGAAATAGGAATTAGTTTTGAATTTATCCCAGGTGGTGGCTGAAATCTACCCTTATCGATTTTAGGAGCACCAAGGGATCTTAAACGAGCGCAACTTGCTTAATGTATCTCCGAAATGTTTCGCCCTCCTCCAGGATGGCTTGGTGTTCGGTTCTACTGTTACTCTCACCTACCCTAGATCAGGGGTGGGGGGTTTTTTTTGGGGGGGAGGGGGGGTTGAAATAATTTTTATGATGATAATTTGATAACTAATGCAAACCTTTTTCAGAAAAAAAAATTATTAGTAGTAGAAGTAGCAAGAAAAGGGCCTAGACATTTCCTTCTCAGATGCTGCCGCAAGATCTTAGGCATTTCGTGGCGTGACAAGATTACAAATGTTGAAGTGTTCGCACGGGCAAACCTCCAGAGCATGACAACCATCCTGTGTTTAAAAAGATTGAGATGGCTGGGCCATGTCAAGAGAATGGACGACAACCGGATTCCGAAGCAACTTCTCCATGGAGAACTTGCCCAGGAAAAGAGACCAAGCAAAGACACCTGTAAAAACAGCTTATCTGAGCTTGGGAGTAGATGTTAGCATCTGGGAAGAAAGAGCTAAGGACAGGAAAACATGGAGGAAAAAGATAAAGGAAAGAACTATAATGCTGGAGAGCAGCCTTAGAAACGACCAGGCTGAGAAGCGCCAACGACGAAAGGAAAACAGCGGAAATACAGAGCTTCGATCCACGTCACTGACATGCAAGCACTGCAACAGAATCTGCGCTTCAAACAGGAAAAATTAGCCATCTAAAAAGCTGCAGGAAGACAAACTTGAGACCATCTTGCTAAGTTGACCGTCTGCAGAGACGATAAGAGCCATACTGTAGTAGTAGTAGTAGTAGTAGTAGTAGTAGTAGCAGTAGCAGTAGCAGTAGCAGTAGGTAGTAGTTAGTAGTAGTAGTAGTAGTTAGTAGTAGTAGTAGTGGTTAGTAGTAGTAGTAGTAGTAGTAGGTAGTAGTAGTAGAAGTAGTAGTAGTAGTAGTAGTAGTCATTGCCTTTCTCACCCTGCACCAGGGTATAGGCCACGGACAAACACCCTCCACTTTTCTCTATCCTGGGCCCCTTGATGTTATTCCATGTCTTCCCACTTTTCTGTACATCGATTTCTGTGATTCTTCTCCAGGTTCCACGAGGTCTTCCCCTTGATCTCTTGCACTGTGGGTTCCAATCCAAAACTTTCTTTGTTATGCAGCAGCTGCCTGACTTCCTGAGATTCCATTTATTTCAGCACCTGTTCCTCCCTCTCTGTCAATTATGCTCCCAAGATAGCAGAAGGATTCAACGTTTTCTAGGGCCTTTCCTTCTATTGTGACCTGCTCCTTTCGTTGTGCATCTGTCCTTAGGACCTTTGACTTTCCAGGGTGGATCCTCAATCCAACAGACTCCGAATATGCTGTTTAATGCTGAAGTCTTTGCTTGCATCTGTTCCTGGGTGTGCGACAGAAACGCCAAGTCGTCTGCAAAATCCAGATCGTCCAACTGTGTCCATGGTGTCCACTGTATACCATTTCTGTGTCCTCTGGTGGTTTCCTTCATCGGCCAGCCGATTGCCAATATGAAGAGGAACGGTGATAGTAATCATCCCTGTCTCACACCAGTCTTGATGTCAAAGCTGTCAGTGAGCTGGCCATCATGTACAACCCTGCAACTTGTCCCTTCGTGCATGCTCTTGATGATGTTCACCAACTTCTGTGGGATTCCATGTTGTCTCATTATCTTCCATAGTGTCGCTCGGTCTATACTGTCAAAGGCCTTCTCATAGTCAAGGAAGTTGACAATCAGCTGGGAGTTCCACTCCAGGGACTGTTCCACAATAATCCTCAGCGTGGCAATCTGGTCGGTGGTTGAGCGATTTTTCCGGAAACCGGCCTGTTCATCCCGTAGTCTTGGATCCGTTCCTGTCTTGATTCTCTCCAGAATGATTCTGTTGAAGACCTTACCTGGTATTGAGAGAAGAGTGATCCCTCTGTAGTTGCTGCAGTTGCTGCAGTTGCTGAGATCCCCCTTTTTTGGAAGCTTCACGAAGTGTCCTTCTTTCCAATCCTTTGGGAACTTGCTCTCCTTCCAGATCCTGGTAAACAGTGGGAGGAGGATGTCTGCCGTCACATTGGCATCTGCTTTTAGGGCTTCAGGTGGAATTTTGTCGGGACCGGTCGTTTTACCTTTGTTCAGCTTCTTAATAGCATCCAGAATCTCTTGTTTTAAAGGAGCATCACAGCAGATAGGCAACTCATTTCTTGCTGGCAGTATGTTTGGTGGGTTACTCGGTGGTGGTCTGTTCAGGAGACTGTTGAAATGCTCTAGCCATCGTTTAGACTGAGCTTCCTTTCCAAAAATGCTTTTCCCCTCTTGGTCCTTTACAGGTACTTCAGGTTTCCCAATATTTTCCAGCAAGTGTCCTTGTGGTCTGGTAAAGGATTCGCATGTGCCCTCCTATCGCTGCTACCTCTGCCTTCTCCACTAGCCTGTTCATGAATTCCTCCTTGTCTTTTCTTATTGATTTCTTGACATCTTTAGTTGTTGTCCTGTACTGCTCCAATGCATCCGCTCTTGATCCTCTTGTTCTACTTGCATTCGCTTCTGCCTTCAGCTGTCTTCTTATCCTAATATATCCAATGAGTGTTGGCTAATACATTCTTTTTGCTCCCATTTCTTCCCACCGCGTACTTCTTGACATGTTGATGTAAAGACTTTTTTGACCTTGGTCCAGTGTGTATCCACCTCCGTGTCCTCACCGCCAAGATCAGCCAGAGGTTGAAATCTGTTCCTCAGCTACAGCTGAAACTCTTCTTTCTTGTGTCCGTCCAAGAGACTTACTTGGAACTTGGTTCTTTTGATTCCTGTGCTGGTTCCGTGCTTTTTGAGTCGAAGCTTGAGTTTTGCCAAGAGCAGATGATGATCCGATCCAACATCTGCCCCTCTCTGTACTTTGACATCTTCCAGTGAACACCTGAACTTACGAGAGATACAAAAATGATCTATCTGGTTCTCCGTCACTCCATCTGGCGAAACCCATGTGGCCTTGTGGGGAAAAACAGAGCCTCCAATAACAAAACTGTTGAAAGCGCATATATTTGCGAATCGCTCCCCGTTTTCATTCATCATTTTGTCCCAAGCCATGTTGTCTCATAATTCTTTCATACCCCACGTTGTCCTGACCAATCTTGGCATTGGCATCTCCCATTATGATGTTGACATCCTTCCTTGGTAGTTTGTCGATGACCCCCTGGAGCTGGCTGTAAAAGTAAAAGGCATCCTTGTCTTCATCCGAAGCATCATTTGTTGGGGTGTAGATCTGTACTATATTCATGTTGATGCTCTTGCTCCTTGTAGTGAATGAAGCCGTGATGATCCTTTCCCCGTGTGGTTCCCATCCTCTAAGTGACTTCTGTGCATACTTACTCAAAATGATTCCCACTCCTTCCGCATGGTACTTGTCTTCCCTCCCAGAATACAATACTTGTTCCCCCGAGCTGAGCTGCTTCTGTCCAGATTGTATCCAGTGTGTTTCGCTGATTCCTAGTATGTGCAGCCTGTATCTCTTCATCTCTTGTACTACTTGAGAACTCTTTCCTGCTTCATACAAGGTGCGAACATTCCACGACGCAATACGGAGAGACTTGTTCGACAGAGAAGATTTCGGGTCAGAAGAGTCCTTTCGGCTTTGTCCGCTGTCCTTCATTGTTCCTGCTGATGCAGAAGCTCCTCCGTCTCCCAAGATCGAAAAATAAAAAGCTGTGTTTGAAGTGTTTGTCCGTGTTTCTGTAACTTACTGGGTTTTTTTTTACTGGGTTGGGTAGTTGGCCCTCCGCAAACTGGCACTTTTCGGGCGGCCAGACCTATGCACTTTTAGTCGCCTCTTACGACACGAAGTATCACGGCAGGTGTATTCTTTGCTCCCCCATAGTAAAACTACGGGGGCCCCCACCAGCAGGGGAGAGTAGTAGTAGTGATATAACCACAATTATGTAGATTAATAATAATAATAATAATAATAATAATAATAATAAGGCGGCTTACCAATAATGATAATGATAATAATAATAATAATAATAATAATAATAATAATTCATTATCATAATCTTCATTCCGAAAACGGAATGCGGGGAAAAAAAACCCGAATTGAAATGTTTACGTCATGAAAGGTGAACAGTTCACGAATCGCGTGAATGAACTGTTGCAAAGATTATGTATAGATGCCCGGATGATGACATCACAACATTAGTTCGGCCATTTTTGTTGACTGTAAGCTGGAACAGGATTCAGCCACAGGTTTCTGACAATATCCCGGTTCTGCCAGCAATTTCATAATGTAAGTTATTGTTCAAAAGTAACCCCCGAAGGTGCATTTTGCTTTGTGGAATAGATGGTTGCTAGTCAGTAGCTGTACATCGCTGCATACGACCATGGTTTACGCTCCTCGATTGAAACGAGCCCATTGAAAGTTGTGTAGTCTGCTGACTGTTGGTCACACACTGACTCATGTTGTCGTCTAGATTTTCTACCACCTTGAATTTAATTTGGGTGTACACCAGTAATCACCCGGCAACCCCTTGTGTCTAGAAATATGTGCATGATATTGAATAACAAGGGCTATTTTAATTGATACTCTATCATAACTGAGATGTTTCATTCGGCCTCGCTGAAGAACTAAAGTAAGGCAGAACTCGAGAAGGCAGTCTATTGCTTTGCTACTCACTACTCTGCTCCATCTCAGTCTCAAGAAACTAGAATCTAAATCTAGAATCTAGATCTAGATCTAATATCTAGGTTCTAGATTTCTAGATCTAGGCAAGGCTAGTCGGCTAGGCAAGAATTTAGAACTTGGAATATGAAAATCATTGAAAATGACAATTGCTTGTTGTTTGGGAGTCTTGACTTTTGTGAGTCCTTCGGATGCCAATGTTGACCAGTTAGTATGGGATCACAATCACGCTATTGACTATATTGATTAGGTTAGGCCTAGAATCTAGATTTCTAGATTCTAGATCTAGATCTAGAATCTAGAGTCTAGATCTGGAATTCGATCGACTCTACTATTGAGGCTGAGGTTGTCTTGAACTTGAGGCAGGCCAGCAGTTATAATATGTTTTGAGCGCGTTTCAAGAAAAGGAAGAAGATAACTTTGGAGACTAGCATTTTTCTGTGTGTGTCATTTCTACTGGCCCTTGAAAATGATGGAGATGGAGGGTGGGTGGGAGGAGTACAGATATGACTGATAAGCCAGCACACTTCTAATGAATGATGTGAAGGACTTGCGTAACGAGCGACCACTATGAGACAGGAAAGTGGCTATTCTCACCCGCCCGGAAGTTCTCGCAAGATCTACTCCTCCCCTCTTCTCTCTCTCTTGTCTCTTTCTGAATACTGTCTATCGGTGTGGGCGATCAAATTGACTAAAACAAAGTTAAAAAATGATGTTAAAACATAAAAGTAAATTAATTTGGTTGTCTACAAAGATGCTACGGCTATTTAACTTTTCGAATCGAGCCGAACTATGCGGGTCGCCATTTTGTTTTGCCTGGAAGTTCTCGCGCTACTCCTCTCTCTCTCTCTCTTTCTCTCTCTCTCTCTCTTTCTCTCTCTCCACTGCCCACAGACAAAATTGTACGCTTTTAGTAGGCTACAGTTGTAATGGAACGTTTGTTCACAGCACAGAATTCTACAATTTTTCTGTTATCACAGTGTAGAATTCTACGCAAAATTTGTTGGCCTAGATCTAGGCTATAACGGTGAACGTGCACCGGGTGAGAATAGCTAAAAGACTCGCCTGCACTATTCTCACCCCGAGTGAGAATAGAGGTGGCCATGAGACAGAGTAGAATAGAGGGTTAGGGTTAGCTGTCTCTTCTTTATTGTTTATTGGGGTAGTCGTTCGTTACAGAAGTCCTTCTGAATGATGAGAATGGAAAAGGGCTTTTCAAGGTGTCAAGCAGACAGTCAATGTAGCCTACACAGTAAAGACCAATAGTAGTATCACTTTCATGATATAGCCTAGGCCCTAATTTAATCCTATTATATGCTGTCGTGATGGTCTTGTCAAAGAATTTTGGCTGAATAACAGAATTTGCTTTCTTTGTTATACAGTCCCTAGTTTGGCCCTTGCACACCCTGTATTTTTTCCTGAGATGAAGTAGTGCTTATTTTGTAATTTGTGAACAGAAGAAACCAGGTCGATCTAATATTTAATAATACGAGTGTATCATTTGTTTACGTTATAATAAAGTTTTTAGGTTAATAAACTGAAACAGTAGTTACTGTATTGCAGTGTCCCTAATTATTCATGCTGCCACTTTTCCACTAAATAGCAGAAACTCCGCCTCATCTAGGCTCTAGCTTTTTCTGCTTCTTTCCTCCTTCCTCCGCTGGTCCGCTCTCGGACGCAAAATTGCGATACCTTTTTTTACACGCGGAAAACACCGAACAAGGAGTGAGACAAAAACGCGCCTTGCGCATGTCTGCCTGTATCTTCTTACTTCAGTTCTGTCCGTGCCTAGCGCTAGTTTCCCATTGTTTATTGTGGAGCAACAGTGTCGATCGAGCATCCGAACAATGGCGCGCCCAGTTGTCATTGAAAACGACGGAAATTCGAGAAAGGAAGTGGCTATTCTCATCCGGGGTGAGAATAGAAATACGATCGACCTCTCACCCCGGGTGAGACTTGCGACCGTAGGCTATTCTCACCCGGTTTGAAACAAGACCTGTTTTTCCTAATTTCGGAATACTTTCTATCGATGTGGATGATCAAGTGGATGAAGGCAAAGAAAAGATTACGTTATAGCACAAAAGTAAGCTAATTTGATCGACTACAAAGATGCTATGGCTATTTCACTTTTCAAATCGAGCCGAACAACGGGGGTGGCCATTTTGTTTTGCCCGGAAGTTCTCGCAAGATCTACTCCTCCCCTCTTCTCTCTCTCTGTCTTTTTCTGAATACTGTCTATCGGTGTGGACGATCAAATGGACCAAAACAAAGTTAAAAAATGATGTTAAAACACAAAAGTAAATTAATTTGGTTGTCTACAAAGATGCTACGGCTATTTAACTTTTCACATCGAGCCGAACTACGCGGGTCGCCATTTTGTTTTGACCGGAAGTTCTCGCGCTACTCCTCTCTCTCTCTCTCTTTCTCTCTCTCTCTCTCTCTCTCCACTGCCCACAGACAAAATTATACGCTTTTAGTAGGCTACAGTTGTAATGGAATGTTTGTTCACAGCACAGAATTCTACAATTTTTCTGTTATCACAGTGTAGAATTCTGTGGTTTAGGGTGAACACCAAATTTGTTGGCCTAGATCTAGGCTATAACGGTGAACGCGCACCGGGTGAGAATAACCAAAAGACTCGCCTGCACTATTCTCATCCCGGTGATGCAGAATGCAAAAATAAATGGAGCCTTGTTGAAAAAGGATCAGACGGTGTGCGACTTCAAAAGTTCATATAAATAAGAAAGTTGAACAAGCTGGGTGCTGCACTTTGCCTTTGGTGCGATATAAAAAAAATCTCGTAAATCTAGAAATCTAAATCTACTGTTCTACATCGTTGCACAAGTCTAAAGTGAAAGAAATATTTTTACGAGACACTAGCTGGCAACTTACACTAAATTTTTAATCACCAAACCTAGTCAAATTATTTTTTAGTCAACTTGGTGTCTGTTTTTTCTTTCTTTATTTTAAAAAATTTGAAATAGATTTTAATTCAGTAGCATGACAGTTTTCCCCTCCAAAAACATTGGCTAGATTTTCCATTGCCTCTGGATCTCACTGGTTTTACTCCGACCTTCGGAGAGCACGCGTCCGCCTTCGCGTGAATTTCCTCCTTTTTTAAAATTCCTGAGTGGCGGCTATGATTATTGCAGTATGTATTAATATTTTTATAATGAGTTTTAAAAGAGTAGACTTTTAGGCTATTCCACACGTAATGCACATGATTATAATTGAAATGATTGTAAACTTGGATCAGAATTATTGAAAATTAAGGTTACTTTTTTTGTAAGTTTTATGGCTAGGACTAAATTTTGATGGGACAAAATATTTTCAAGGGAACTGAGCAAAGTTTTTTTAATGGAAGATGATGAACAATAGACAGTGGAAATATACTTTTGACTGGGAATATACTCTTCAAATTAGCCCCAGATATTAAGATTATTTTAACGATAGAGTTAACATCTCGATGATTTACCAAAATAAAAGTTCTAATATGCTATTATTGTTTTTGTCAACTCTTCTACATGGCTGTGAAAGTTACCAAAGATAATGCTGTTTTTTTTTTTTTTTTGTTTGGGGGGGGGGGGGGGGGGTGTTTATATGCATTTTACGGCGCTTGCAACTAACTCCATAAAAGGTCATATGAGCGTGTGAGACACAGCATTATAATCTGGTTATCTGGTGGGTAGGAATGAATTGTGAATTTTACTTTGGTGGCGGCCGAAGCCTACTCTTCGGGATTTAGGACGAAAGTGGAGACGAAAGCAGATGATAGAACATGGTTAGAGAGCAGGAAAAAAGAAAGGAGGAATGTTTTAGTAAAGAAAAAAGATAATGGAAATAAAACAGAAGCAATAGCAACATAATGTGGTTTCTTACTTTTTGAGAATTTCATTGAAGGAAGAAAAGGTATCAAGCATGGAAGTAAGTTACTGATGATAGAGGCTCATGTGGCCACCTTAGCTGAACAATTAGGGTGCCAATTGCAGTTTCTTGGGTCACTTGAAATGTCATACTCTGAAGATTTTGTTCTGTCTAGAAAAATAGAAGGTAAACGAGGCAGGGGTAGTTAAGAGCAACTTATACTTTGAAAATGTAAAAAATGAAATAGTGACAGGAAACACCAGGGTCGGTAATAATGGTGTTTTTTTTAGAGCATCCGAGTGGAGAAATGAATGGAGAGCCATGATCGTTATGTTTATTTCTGATCTGGCACTTTTTGATGATGGTGATTAGGGTTCTGTTCATTCCAGAAAAGAAAGTACCTTGGGGTTTGGTTTGTTGTCCATGTATTGAATGTTTTGTACTGTTTTGACTGCTTGTCAGCGATAAATATATTCTAAACTTCTTGTGAAGGGCTGCTCCTCAAAACCCTCAGGCTGGGCCAGGAGGTCCACCGTAAGTAGCTTTACATAAATGTCCAGCTCATTGTCTGATTCCAATCAAAAATGTTGTATTTGCGCACGATGAATATTTTTATGCTCACTTCCATGGTTACCAATTGTTTTTGTAACTGTTTTATAGTCTCACAAGATTTTTGTTTGCAGTTGAGGAGAGTACAGATGAATGCTGTTTTGTCTTGTTTTTGAGAAATTATATTCTGGATGTCGCAAGTGCATGGTTGATGTTGTTTCAGTATTAAGTGTCTTTCGTATGTGCATTTCGTCTTTGCTGTGGAATTTTTGTCTTAGCGTTGATTTAGTCCAGCGAGTGAATTCTGATCCGCTGAAACCACAGTCAATGGTTTTTCATAAATCAGATTTCAGTATAGAGTTGGGTGCTTTACCCAGAGAAGGACTGTAAAAATGCTTGAAAGAGTCATCTTGCAGAAAATACTGCCTTGCGTGATGGACAGGATCAACTTGTGCTTTTCTGAGCCCGTTCTAATTTTACCTTTCTCTGAACACCAGGCATGATTTGTGAAATCCTAAAGTATGCACTGATGTAATTCTATAGGGATGGGGACTCTCCGAAAATTTTCTGAATTCCGAATTATTTTTTGCCTCCCAATTTTTTCGACGATAAATTCGGGGGGAAAAAATGACAAAAGAGTTACATACTACCTTTTCTCCTCCTACTTGAACATGAGAACATGAACATGCAGAGAAAAGAATTAGGCTACTGCTTGACCATTAAACAATACATTGATGTGACCGGTACTTGTAATTTAAGTATTTAGATGAATTTAGGCTTTTCTGTATTTTTTATTTTTTTATTTTATCAATTATGTTTGTTGCCTAGTGAAATAACACCTTATTCTAATTCTTTTTTAAAATTCAAAACACTCTCAGAGACTACGTTCTTTAAAAACGTAAATTTCTTCCCGGCTTCAGCCTTCTGCTGTCGCAGAATTCAGAAAAAATTTTGGGAATTAGTCCATGTCCCTGATTCTAGCGGTTGACCCAAATGAGCTGAGATGGTATGGATGTTGTGGGCTCAGGTTTGTCTTTGAAGTTGAGGCTTTAAAAAACAACAACTCGTTATTGATTTTTTGCAGTCATGTTTCTCTAAATTCTCTCCACCCATATCCATTACATCACTATTCGTCATTGTACTACTACTTGTAGTTGTAGCTTTGAGCTGTCATTTTCAAGTTTTTGTTACTAGTGTTCTGGATGTATAAGGACTTAAATTGATAATTGCCCTTTAAGTTTGTTGCTTTGACTGTCGTTTAGATGATATGTTTTTACAATTCGTATCTTCAGGGCTTACCCAGCACCAGCACCGTAAGTTTAGTTAGCCTGAACTTTATGGCTATAAAAACAGCTTTTATATAATGCATTGTATTTGGTGCTGTAACAATAACATGGTATCACACATACGCTCATCGAGCTATTCGCTGTTCTTATTAATTCCAGCATAGTAACAGTCTGTCCACTATCTTTTAACCAAAATGTCTTTTTCACCTAATCAAAATCAAGTTTGAGTATCTGGGTTTATGACGATTTTGTATGAAAATCTTACAAATGTTTAATTGTGAAAGAGGTTCAGTTTAAATTTTATTGTTGCCTGGTATTTTATTTTATAAAGGCCAAACAAGGATATATATATATATTTTCCCCTTACAAAATGTAAAGTTAAGCCCAGATTCAGTTAGTTAATTAATTTTTGTCTTTGATTCTAAGGATGATAATGTGCTTTTGAATTGATGCAGTGCCCAAACTTTTAACGTCTGATTTCTGAAAAGGCAGTTTCAACAAATTTTCTAGTATATCATAAAAATACACTGTAGATGGGTTGGGTTTTTTTATCAACCCAATTTTCAAATATGTTCTTTGGACTATACTATCATTGGTTAAGAAAATGCAAAAAAATCAATTTTGTGAAATGACGAAAGTTGGAATGTTGAGTGCTGACAGGTCAACATGCTCTTTATAGTTCATGACATCTTGTAAAAAATTTTCTTTCAATCCAAAATCTGTCTTCACAAATACTTGGACTTCGGTGTGTTTACTCCATTGTAAGAAAAGGAAAGTAGCTAATTAATCCTCTTTGACAGTCTTAACAAAATGTTGCATGTATTGATTTGGTATTTTAAAAAAAGTAATAATGATTTGTTTATATAAGTAATGGTGGAACTTATAATCGACATGATGTAGTGAAATTTATTGATCTCAAGCTACAGTGTTCAGTGTAATGCCTATTGGTATTACAGTAAAACCTGCTGTAACAGCTACCTGTTGTTATATGTTTGATTTGAGGGTTTTCCGTGGAAGAAAGGAGAAAGGGAATTACATTTTTTAAATGAGAAAGTTGGATGGGGGAGTAAGAGAAGTGTCTCCATTTTTCTTGAAATATCTTTTTTGGATTGGGTTAACTTATTCGCCTAATTCTCAACATCTCAAGTTGTGTATTACTAGTCCATGTGATGGTTTCTTAATGATCTAAACTGCATTGATGGGGGAAAACATAAGCAGTTACTAACTTCATTAAATATATTTCTTTGTAAATGCTTGAAAAACTGAAGTAATTAACATTATAGGCTTGTATTGCAGTGTTGCTGAGTTTCTTTGCCATGTCTTATAAAGTGTAGTATATTGGTACTTTCTTTAGTCGTTGTTTCGTCTTCAGCAGTCTGTGTCAACGCTGTAAATAGAGTTGTTTTTGAGTGCTTCAAAGATTATAAATCACAGACTGCAGCAAGAAACCAGCTGTGTAAAGCTCCTGGGACCTTAAACTTTTCAGGAGCAGTTGTGCAAATTTTGTTACCAGCTACCATTCCCATTAGTATGTAATTATGTAATTATTCTGGTCCTGTACAACAGTCCTGGCACCAGTCGCGTGAAGCAGGATGACTCATAAACATACACACACATATCTTTTCCCAAAACCCACAACATCTTTCCTTATATATTTTTAAAAAATGAATTGATAGTACATTATTCATTTCATACCCTCTGTTAAAGACGGATCTGGATTTTGTGTAAAATTTCCCCATAAGCGATAGAAATATAGTCAAATAATCCGCCAGCCTCCAGGCTGTTACCTAATGAAACCAAATAAGTTTTTGCTTCTCCTGTATAATTTACTATGCTGGGGTTAGCAGGCCTTTTATGACAAGGGCGATGATATGATGTTAATGCTGGTTGTGAACTCCGCCTTGATGACGTAACACTGGCAGCAGCTTGGTTGTTGGGAGACAGTTTTCACATTTGTTTTAGCCCATGGGATGTTAGGATGAGCTTGTAATTAACTTGAGAAAAAGGATGACTGTTAAAAAATGAAAGAGCAATGATTAATTACTAAGTTTGCTGCTTTGGCCATAGTGTCAGAAATTATTACGGGTTTGATGTTTGTGTTGTAAGTAGTACATTGTATGATTCACTGTTTTTTTACTCTGCAAGATGTTTTGGCAGGGCCATTATGAAATTCTGAGCTTCATGTTAATTAGAACCTAAATCTACATATTAAATGCTCACATATAATATTTGTTTTACTATTTTGTGACCTCATATTCTGATGTTGCGCATCCTACTCATTTTGTAAAGGGCTAGTGCTACTTGTTTGTCGCATGTCATGTATTATGTCTGCTTTCTTTAAGCTCTGTCATGATGTTTTACACTTTTTCTTGTGGCTATTATATTCCTATTGCTTGCATTTTTCAAATTGATACAAAACTCCAGCAGCGAAGTGTTCATTCTTTTTGTAGATGTTTAGAATTTAAAAAAGAGAAATATTATTTCAATAGAAAACCCTTTCCTCTATTCATCTTGGTTGAAAAGCATTCTCTTTGTGAAAGTTCAAACAGCGCCGTAAAACCCTCTACTACTGAAACAGAGCTTCTCAAAAATACTGGTTAGCTGTTTGTTGATACAAACTTTGGCATGGCAATTGTATGGTTTCAGGTATTTTAGTGTGGGGGGTTCTAGCTATGCCTATATTTGGAGCTGTTAAAAAAACCCAAACATATTAAAAGATATATATGTATATTTATATATATATTTGTAGTGCGGGTTACTGCAACAATAATCTATCTTGATTCCTTAGCTGTTCTTGAATGATATAGATGTCAGAGTAAAATGAACCTGCTCAGAAAATGGAGAATGCAATATGGTGACAAGAAAATTAGCAAAAGCGTTCATTAGATGGATAGATGGATACTCCCTTTCCTCCCCCTTACATCCCCCAAATGAACACAGGTGTAAAGTAAGTAAAGACTGATCATATTCTGTTTTGTTTTAGGCGTACTATTTCTATTACTAAAGCGATAAGAATTCCGCTATGTTGCTTTCTTTGAAAAGTTAGAATGTAGTTGGCGAAAGAAGTAATGAAAAAAATCTGTTGATAAGACGAGGGACTTTTTCTTTATTGTGCACCACAAACTAATCAAGTGCATGATTTGTGAGAGGTGATGGGACAGAAAAAAGAAATGAAACCAGTTGCTTAGGAAGCCCAGAGTTTTGCCTAATGTTTCACACTCTTGTTGTTTCTTTTGTTTGCAGGTCAGCTGGTCCAGGCGGTCCCCAGGGCGGCATGCAGCCCCCTCGGGAACAGAGCAAGCGACTGCAGCAGACGCAGGCGCAAGTGGATGAGGCAAGTTTGGCATGCACACTGCTGAGTGGGCGGAATTTTTATACATCGTCTTTCTCCTCCCCCTCTCCCTCCCTCCCCCTCCCTCTTTTCTGGCTTTGCACAGGTTTTATTGATTTTCTGCAAAAGAATTGTAATGTTAAAAAAGGTAGTTTGCTTATTGCCTTTGTATGGTACATGAGTAGGGCAGAAGTGTGAATGGAGGTAACAATAAGCTGCTTTGATAATCAGCTGTCAAGATACCATTGTAATTCAAGTAGTTGTTTGGTCAAATCGATAAAATAAGTTTACAGTGAATAAAAAAGCATTACTCATTGGTCTTACTGACCCCGAATTTTTGGCGTATTGAAAGATTTGTTCTCATAAAATGGTATAACACAAATGGTTCAGTTGTTTCTTCTTTTTTGTGTCCTTTTGTCCTCCTCTTCCTTATGGACTTCCATGCAAAAGTTGACTAGTGATTGTAGGCATAGTCCTTTGTCCATCTTCCCCATATATCAATTTTATATTTTACACTAGCTGCCCGGATGCCTTTAGCAATGGCAACCTAGAGGTTAAGGCTAAGACAGTTATGTATTGCCTTCAGCTGCCACTACAGTTGTGACTGTTTGATGACAATCTTACTGTTAATGCGTCTTTGGAATATATCTACGAAACAGAAGTAAAAATAAGTTAAACACAATTGAATTCCACTTTAATGATCACCATGAGAAATTTTTTTTTTACCATGGCGTACATAAACACACCAATACATTAATACGTAAATGCTTTAGTCGTACACAACATCACACACATAGACAAATCACACACCATTGCTGGCTGCCACAGTGCAGTACCCTGTTTTCAGGTAGGGATATCATGTGTTGCTCTCAGTCACACCCAAGTGACGACCCAGCTTAATACCAAGTCATCGACACACACACTTGAAATCATGAGCCTAAGTTCACAAACCAGCTCTGAACCAATACTGAAGAATAGACACTCCCATTTTTAAAAAGTGGAATTGGAAAGCAGTGACTCGTTTCTTGAGTATATTATAACGATTAGTAGAGTGAAAACTACAACTTAATGAATTCTTAAGCTCTGTATTATAAAAATCCGTCTCCGTTGTTTTCCTCGAAATTTGAATGCTACATTCCCTTTAAATAAAAATACAAAAAAGTCAGTGAGACCACAATCATAACATCTTAACAACCTAAGAATTCCTTGAGCAGTTATTCGAAAAAATAAGTCCAATAAAGGACTAATGATTGACCTTCTCTATGTTCATTAAAACAGACAAGCAGTAGGACAATTTAGAATAATCTTTATAATAATAAGAATAGAAACAATTTAGTTATTTATGCTGAGGGTGCTCTATTGGTTTAATTAACCCTTTCGGATGGTGGTCACCCAGTTTTGTCACACCTTAGATTGTGGCCTTCCTGAGCAAGAGCACTAAAAAATAAATCTTGTTCAGGGAAAAGGCTTTAAAAAAAAAAATGGTTGATGTACAAGAACCTTCAACTCTTACTTTCTTGTTCAGAAATGGTTTCTGCAAATTATATAAGTATTAGGTTGGGAAAAAAAGGTTTGTTTTAGAGTGCATGTATGTTGTGTGAATGTCACTTTCGTCACAACTTCTTGGTTTTTCATCATCTGAATCCATGGTGTAATTATAGATTGTTCTATCAAATTCAAAACGCCTACTACAAAGTTGTGAAAGCTGAGATGTGAATCGTTTTTATAACGAAAGAGGAAGTCCGCAAGTTCGTAACTCAACACAGAAGATTTCCTTTTCTGTTTAGCCACAGAATTCCGTATGATCGCCGCGGCGCACTTCATTGATGGAATATTTATGTAATTGCCAGCATATTGGCAGTAAATGTCTGAAAGGGTTAATAGAGTGCTCTGTACTATGCTGAGTGATACTGTATGTATATTGAAAATGTGAAATGTGATAGTTTTTCTTTTATAAATAGCTTAAGTGTTCTCTGGTGAGAGTGTTTTATTGTTTTTGGCTATATTTTTTTTGTTTTGCTTTTTTCTGCTTCACAGGTTGTGGATATCATGCGAGTGAATGTGGAAAAAGTACTAGACAGAGATCAGAAAATTTCACAGTTAGATGATAGAGCAGGTATGTACGAAATTCATTTTTTTTTCTAATATGTTTGTCTTTTGTATAATGTGTTGTAGATCTACTTTTTTAACTATTTCTTTCTCATAGTGTTTCAAGGGTATGCCCATTTTCTCGAAAGGAACAGAAAATATTGAATATTCTGAGCTAAGATTCAGTTAACTATGTTTTTTAAAATGAATTTTCCCCAGTATATTTGCTTTTTTTCATACTTTAATACTCCCCCCCCCCCCCCCCACACACACACACAAACGTACACAGTCATGCACTAATAATAACTTTTTTTCCCCCATTTTTTTCATCAATGCCTGTGATGGTATTTGGTGATTTGGAGTAGTCGAATGAGTGAGTTATGATTGCCTGGTGGTGTAACTGTGTTTGTTCTTGTTTTACTATTCTCAGAGGCCCTCCAGGCAGGAGCATCACAGTTTGAAGCAAGTGCAGGCAAACTAAAACGAAAGTATTGGTGGAAGAACTGCAAGGTAGGTGCCTCATTAATATTCTTTCCATTTGAAATACCATAGCAAATATTGGACTTGTTGATTCTCAGTGGGTGGGTGTTTCAACCAAGGCATATTTCTGGATGGGTCGTCAGAAGTTGTGGGTTCTGCTTTCTACTATTTCTCTGTTTCTGTCTGTCCGCAATGTTTTCTTTCCTTATTCTAAATGACTGATGATATTGTGGCGACTCCAGTCTGTGGGAGAGCCACTGGGAAAACCAGAAAAATAATAAACTATATGAAATAAAACCCAAACTAGAACAGCGAAGTCCTTCGGACCTCTCCAGAAGAGACGAAGTCATTTTTACTCGATTGCGCATCGGACACACGGCCCTGACCCACAAATACCTCCTACAGGGAGACGAGAAGCCGTTCTGTGTCAGATGCAACACAGATTTTACCATTAGACACATCTTAACCGAATGTCTAGACTTTGGAGAGATCCGAAGGAAATATTATAAATGCAAGAAATTGCAAGATATTTTTTCCGTCCTTGTTCCCAGCAGAATTTTGAATTTTATAAAGGCCATTGGCCTTTATGGCAAGTTGTAAAATGAAAAATGAAAACGTACTATTAAAAATTTTTATTGTTACCTATAAGAGTTTTTAAATCACAAATATATTTATACTGAATTTTAATATTTTGACATTTTAGCATTTTAAAGTCAATTAGTTAACCAATCGTGGAGTGAACTTTTGCGAAAGTAAACAACTTGTGTTTCGCGCGCTCATATGACCTTAGCAGTTGCGAGCGCTGTAAAACCCTATACTACATACATACATACATATTGTGGCGACATGCTTTCTTTACTCAAAATAAATTCGGGCCGAATATGTATTTATGAAATGCTCATATGATTGAGCAAAAATTTAAGCTCAATAGGAATGTCTTATCATAAATTTGTTCATGGGAACTATCTTGGAACTATTAATTTAGGATTGGGTTTAGAATATTTTTGTAAAGAAACTACCCTTGTCTTGGGTAGTTTTTTTTGCGTATGGTTTTGTATTTATACCTTTATATTGTGGTGCTTCTGGTAGATGGGCTCAATAGATGAATTGCAGACCTTGTCTTTCACTGGCAAGATGTCCTCATGTAAATTTGAGGCACAAGTCGACTCAGGGTGGTTGTGGAAATTTAGCCTCCTTTTGCTTCATTGATGAACCCATTCACTGGAATGGTGGTAAAATAGACCTTGCTAGAACTAAAACACAAGTATGGTCTTTTGTAATTGCACTTTGCTAATGATGAGATATGTGATAAGTTTTTGTGTAAGTTTTTCAATGCGATTTGAATGATTGCAAAGACATACTGTTAGGAATTCTATCTGTGATGGTCTTAAGACACGAAATACAAGAGGGAGACCGGACGAGCGGCTCACATAATTTGAACAGCAGTTAGTTCATTTACATAATCTAAAAGGAAGTCAATTTATGTTTTTGATGGAACTTTTCTTGATGACCTCTTTTAAAGAATAATTGAACAGATGTACAAATGACTGACCCACCTTGGAAGTCAATATAAGAAGAAACGGTGGATTTGAATTCGTAGGTGTGGTCACCATTAATTGTCCTGCATTCAGGTGAATGTGGGTAAGAACAACGTTTTTGAATTCATAGGTTCATGGTTAGTGGCACCTCTGTACACAGGTGGACTTGATGTAGGCTCGAACCGAATCATTGTTTATTATACACGCTAGAGATTCAGCTGTTGATCGGGCCATGACCATTTCACAGATGATGTTGATCCTGGGGGCTATCATTGGAGTCATTGTCATAATTATCATTGGTGAGTGAAGGGGTTGGCGGCACGCTCGCTATGGTTGTGCTGCCTCCTCCCCTTCATTGGCTGACTGTTGTGATCTTGTGGGTGTTGTCACTCTGTTAGATAGGCCGGGGGAGAGCTTTCTTCTCTCACTCTTGGCGCCAGTTGTAGCGGCGCGGATTAACACACTCACTCACTGCTGTGAACTTGCATGCCTGTGTCTGTCTCTTCTGTACTTTGTTCAGGTTCATGCAGTGCGAGCAGTGGTGTCGGCTTTAATATTAAGTTTGAATTATGTTTTGTTTAGTTTTGCGTAACGTAATTTTAAAATATATTTTAATTTTTAAAAATATGTTCTACAGATATAGACTTGCTTTTTTTATTTTTTTGGCAAAGTCTAGCGTAGTCCTGATGGCATGGGAATGGGGGCAATCTAAATGTAAGAGAAAGAAGCTTATAAAACAACATCAAGGGAATGTAAAACTGAAAGTAAAAAATTGTAGGGGGTGGGTGAAGGAGGAAGTGAAATTTTGTAGTATATTCTTAGAACAAACTAGAATGTCACTCCTTTTTTTATCTGTTACTTTTTTATTCGTAAAAGAATTTGTCTCTTGGTGGGTTTGTTTTTAATTTTCTATATATATGATGTACAGAAGCACTTTCTTTGTGATGGAAAAATGAGTCGGCTTTTTAGCTCTCTGTGTTAGATAGCAGTTGAGGTAGCCTCATTCTCTCTTTTGAACTTTCAAACATGAACATGCTTAAGTGTTGGAAGAGAAACAGGTGTACTTTAAAAGTAAATTCTATATCAATGGTGCCTTTAGTCCGATAGGAAGTCAAGTCATGAGATGTTTTTGCCTGTGTACTTTTCAATTGACGCACTGCACGCACTGTGTGAGCCATGTTCTTCTGTACATGTAGTGAGGTTTGTTGTCTTAGTTTCCTTTCTTGTGCATTCAGTTTAACTCTAACCCTTGTTTTCCTGAACTGTTTGTGTATTTTTTTGCACTGTGTGAGCCATGTTCTTGTGTAGATGTAGTTAGGTTTGTTGTTGTAGTTACCTTTCCTGTGCTTCAGTTTAACTCTAACCCTTGTTTTTCTGAGCTCTTTATGTGCATTTTTGTGTAGTTTTATTTCTCCTTGGTTTATTTATTCTGCTGGTTAATTCGCCTGTAGATGTGATAATATTTGATGTTGTAACGTTATTTGCAGATGTGGGCCATTCTTATTGCAGTTATTCTTGTCATAATTATCATTATTGTTGGTAAGTTCAGTTTTTTCTTTTTCGTTTACTTTTAGTTATTAACTTTTTGTTGCTTGTCATTTGGGTTGTGATACCTAGAACTGAAAGTTTACAGTCCAAACTTAATGTTCCCTACCTCTTGTTTTGTTTAGATAATGCAGGGTAGATGTCAAAGGCAAATGTTATTGTTACCCATATATTTTCTGTTTGGAATAGTATTTTTCAGACAATTGCATAGAAAAAAGGGTGAAGGAGGTGCAGGTTGAGCTGGGCCGGGGTTTGTTTTATATAACTGAATTTAGTGCAATTGGTCCTGGAAACTCACAAAAATGAACTTTTTTTTAATGAGCTGAATTTTTTATTTGAATAAACATCATTCCTAACAGGTTACAAACTTGCGTTTTCCACTCAGACTTTGTGAACCTGTTGCAGCCATGTAAAGAGCTTTTTATATATTATATAGTAACCTCTAGTCTCATGAGAACAGCTGTTCAAAAAACAAAAGCAAAGTTGTAAAGGAACAAAAAAAAATTGCTCTGGACTAGCTATCACGTTGGTAGTCACTTCACTCAGAAGGTCAGAAGAGAATTTAAGGGATTTTGCTCAAGATATAAATATCTAGTTGTGTGTTTTCTTATTTTGAAATAATTGTCAGAGAAATGCCGTTTGTTAGTTGGTATTAAAACCAGTAATGTTGGCACCCAATAGCACAAAATGATGACTCTACAGGTGGTTTTTTTAATGTGTGTAAGAACCACATGTGTTCAGTTTGAGCTTTATTTTGTGTTCCTGTAAGGTCAAGAATTAACATCTAGTTTGCTCGCCTTTCTTTTTATGTTTTATCTCAAAATCAAAGTATCATACTGCAAAATGATATACTGAGATGTGTGTAGTGCTATAATGAAATGCACCTACTGTTGCTGGAACTCGTGCTATAAAATAAATTATGTCGTAAAGAAAAACTTGACCGTGTCGTGGTCTTAAAAAGTGGATCTGTTTGTGAAAAAAAATTAAAGCAAGTCGTAAAAAAATATCAATTGATCATATTGTGAAAATTAGATCTAATAATTATAAAATTAGTGCACAGATAATAGACAAAGTAGAGTCCGGAAGACAAACTTTTGCAAGCTGTGTTTTGTGCCAACAGTAGCTGCAGTTTTTTCTCTTTTTCTTGTCATTGTGTTCCTGTTCTCATTTTGTTCTTCTGTTCTTGGCCTAAGAGGTGCTATAGTCAGATTTCTGTGATCGGCTTCCAGTCATATTGTTTCAGGCCTGTGCTTTGTACCTCTGTGCATGGCTGTCTTTGAATTAATTGTAGAATATGACTAACGGTGCACTTTAAAAAGATTTCTGAAGTGCATAAGTTATAGCCCAGTGGTCTTCTTCTTTAGAGAAACCAGCACTGAGCGCACTGTGATGCGTGTGCATATTTGTGTCTGGTGTTGTGAATCTATGCAAGCTGTAGCACTCTGTGTTGTGCCCTCTTACTCTTCCCATAATAATATGTCGTATCAATAAGAGACTTCCAGAGTACTGGTCCTTCTTTTCTCCTTCATGGCTATTTTGTCGAGTGTGTTGCATTACGCTCAATGCAGTGTAATGTCGCCTGTGGCTGGCATTATGTAAATCCTCATATTGTAACCCCAGCAGACTTTGTAAGTGTAAGTCTATATGCCTTCTTACTGTAGACTCTTGCTTTCATGTGTCATTTCACCTGCAATTTCGTGCAGATTGTTTTTATGCTGGGAGGTGACATAGCTGGAAGAGAAGCCTTTCTTGAGGACTCCTCTGTAGATATTTGCATTTTACTGATGTGCTTAGTAAACCAACTGTAACTGGACATGTTACTCCAATAATGACTTGGATTGTGTCCTAGGAAAATTTGCCGAAAGGTTTGAAAAATTTACAGGTTACTGAGTTGCCCAATGAATGGCCTGTCCTCTATCTCTGTGAACATGAAAGAATGTGAAAGCAAGCAGAGGGAGCACTGTTGTAGGGGGTCCATTTGGGTTTGTTTCTAAATTTTTTATAAACATGAGCTGCTAAAATATGCACCTGTCAGTTTGTCTTCCTCTTTGATAAAAGACTTGAAAGTTTCCCTTTAAGTGTAATTTGTGGCGAGTTGACAACATGATGACCTCATTTCGCCAGGACTTGAAAATTGAAAATTAAGGGCAGCAAGGGTGCGTAATTAGATTGAACTATATTTGTAGTTACAGTGGGGTTGATATATATTGTGCAATGGTTTTTAATTCTGCCTTTCAGTGTTATTGACGCATAAAGGCACATTTTGGACTTATTTTGATAATTATCTTTTCATAACAAAGTCAATAAAAGGTGTTAAGTTGTTGTTTTTTTCAATTGGGCAGCAGCAGCAGGAATAAATTTGTTTTGTTGTGTGTGTGGTGTTTGTTGTATTTTTTTAGTGTCAAGTTGAATGTTTATTGACTTTCGTTTTACCTCCCCGTGTCCGCTGCGGCTTTCAAATGCTTACAGTATGGGCGACTGAAGGCTAAGGGTGAATAAATATCACTTGCTGTCACTGTAGATGCTTTGACTGTCCTTTTTGTGTACTTACTTTATAACTTTTAACTTTTTTTTTTAGCCAACATATTCAGTGCCTTACATTGTTTCTCATTTTTAATTGATTTTTTTTTTTTAATACTCATTTGAATAATTTATATTTTCAAAGCAACAGTTTGTTTTTCTGTGTGCAATAGCCTGTATGATATGGGAATATATTTAGTCCTTTAGAAGTTGACTTTTAAATTTCTTGATAATAATAACACTGGTGGAGCATGGGGGATCTGTATATTCTGTTTGTTGAAAGCTTTTCTTTGATAGATTCATGTGTTACAAGCTGTTTGTTCAGCACTTCCTAAGAGCAAATGAAAGAAGGAAGTGACACTGAAGATCCATACCTTAGTAGTCTGTCAGGAGAAGTGCAAGAGCTAAAGCATCTATAACAGTTAAAGAGAAGGAAATAAAACATGTAAGCGGAAATAAAACGTGTAATCAGAAATATAAAGTATAATCATTGTCACTCTCTAACTAGTACAGTTACACAATTTGTGCTTCCTGTGTGCTTCCTGAGTGCTCCTGTGTGCAGGGATGGAAACATTTTCTGTTTGGTCAAAATTCAAATTATGACTTTCAAAAAAAGTGATTGCCAATGCACGTCTCTAGCATAGTTGTAATTATAAATATAAAGTCTCCCAAGCTCAAGGGCTCCCATGGGCAGCAGCACTTGAATATAATGGAAGAGCTGTCAATGTAAATCGTTTGTTTTCTTTAGTTTTAAGTTCCAATTGCTATGTTAGTTGTTTATGTAAAAAGGAAAAAGCAAACAGAAGAAAGTATATGGAGTATTTTGGTAAAAACAAATCAGTAAATTGCAGTAAGCAAAGGAAAACAAAGTGAACAAAGACGAATAGTGAACTGTTTATATTGCAAGGGAGCTCACAGTAAAATGTTTAAACATTGATATTTTTCTTGGTCTAAATTTAGAAAGATATTTTTTCACAATATGTTTTAATTCACACTAATTGAAAATAGAGGGTTATTGTTGACACACCAATGAAACAGAATAATTTCTTCTAGAAATTCCACTACTGTTATGTAGTAATAAATGAACAGTATTTTATTTCACAAACGTTTTTCGTTGTATTAACTTAAAGAGAAATAAAGTGCATGTACTGTGCTTTAGATTTACTGTTGACAAGTGGCTTTTGTCATAACACTTCACATTATAATTTGTCTTTTTCGTGAGACATATGTGTGTTATTTTAAGTTTGTGGTGCTATCTATGGCATCTTAAACTCTATTTTTGACTCTGCTGGTTTTTTTGTGTGTTTTTTTTGGGTTGTATTCCTGAGTTTAATCATGCATGCACGCCTTGCGATATTTGGTTCCATAAAAAGTTCAGAGTGTAGGCACATACATTTGGTTATGGACACAATTGTGTGATTTGAAAGGTTTGAAATCGGAGGAAGGAAAATGAAAAAAATTCTGGTTCATTACTTGAATAGTAAAAGTCACAATGGTTTGTTTTTTTAAAATGCACAGTGGTTTTCTCTTCTTGTGTGAATTATTTTGTGTGTTCTGGGAGTGAAATGCAGATCACCGTTTCCCCTTAATTCGAGAAGAGAAAGGTAGTTATTGATCAGTATGTACACTTATTACTTTTTCGGTTCTTGGCTTGGCTGTATGTTTGTGTATGGATAGCAGAATGGTGAACGAAAAGATCAAATTGGACACGTTTAGGCCTATGTTACTTCAATGAGTCGATATTGTGTGCTCTTATTTGACTGCAAAGAGAAGTTTGAAAGGACCATAGTGTAAATGCCCCATGTCGAATGACAACATTGGGTATTATTTTAGCCCGAAAGTGACTCAATTAAATGTTTGGTAGAGAGCACACAAGACTTGATTTGTATGTTTTAGAGTTCCAGTTTCTCTGTTCAAGAGTTCCAGTTTCCAGGTATTGTGAGGTCCAGTTTTTGCTGAAATGATGCCAGTATATCGAAAGATTAAAAGCTATAGCTTTTCAAGCTTTGTTTTTTGGCTCTTACTTTACAATTTTATTTAGTCATTTTCTCTTTTTTACTTAGCTGAGGTTTTTTTAGCTCTAGCATAGGTTCTTTATATGGATAAAATTTATTATTAAAATTTTATGTTCCGAGACAATAAAAGCATGCAGAAATTTGATTAGAAGGGGACAAACAATTGGCAATAAAAGCGAAAAAACTTTAAGAATTCTGAGTGGCAATGTGCAGAGGGCAACATATTTCATTCTGTAATTGACTGTGTAGTTCGTTAGTATTACTTCTCTCTTCTTTTCAATATCTTTCTTTATGTTATATAATTTTTAAAAAAAAAGTCTTTCTTTTTTATTGTGTGTCTGTAAACTGCTTTCAGTTCACGCTATATCCTGTACAGATTAGAGAGCACATGTAGTACTTTTCAATTTCACTCGTTTTTGGTAGTTATTTTTATGTGTGCACACGCTGTACAACTTGCCGGAAAATGGAGGGGGAGATGGTCTCTTGTTCCGCATTTGCCATTGTTTCGCATTTGTCTTTTATTTTGAGTGCAGATTACTTTACCTTCCTTTGTGAAAAGGCAGGGCTTTGTGTGTAAGTTAAAATAAAATTATACCTTAGACTTCCTTCTTCATTCAGTCTGTGTTCTTTCAGACTAGCTGTAGAGTCAAACATGTTTTTACTGATGAAAAATATCAGTGGCAATATTGTCAATGTAATTTTAAAAAAACTTGAACTGGAGACAAAATTAAAATAATTTGATTCTATTCTTTCAATTATGAACATTTTGTGAAATTGTTAGAGCTGATACTTTTTAAAAAGTGCGTATATTTCTTTTGCTACTGCAATGAGGTAACATCTACACATGCTGTAGGGTCTTTTGACCAGACATAGCTTTCTTTTAAAAAATACAAATCTCAGACTTGGCCACTTGGGCATGACATGAATGTTACATATTTAAAAAATAAAATTTTGTTCTCTTTGTAAACTATTACTTTCTTTAAGTCAAAATTAAATGAATACAGTTTAAATTATCTTTATTCAAAATACTCCTGCCTCAGTAAAAAAAAGGTCTTTTGTTATATTGAGATGCATTTGGTTATAAAAAACTCCTGTTTCTTAAATTTATTGAACTTTAAGATAGTAGTAGAGACTCTTTGATGAAACAGTAGAGTATTTCTTGGCATTGTTTTATCGGAAGTCATAAAAAAACCCTCAACCCCAGTGAGTTTCCCCCCCCCCCTGGGTGTAAATGATGGGCTTTCAAATAGTGATGGATGAGCGAACAGTTCTGACGTATCATTTCATTTTAAATGGTTTGGAATGTTTGTCTGTCTGCTGTACCTGTTGCCCCACAGTGTGCGTGGAAGCCTGTCATATGTGCCCTACTTAAGCAGGATGTAAATAGGAGTTTTGACTGAATCTGGTGTTTTACTTTTGTGGCTTATATTGTGTTGTCTTTTTTCGGTTTCCAGTTTTATTCGAGACTAAGGCAGAGAGTATTCTGGTGTAGTTTGCTCTTTCTATTTGTTTTTTGCCTGTTTTATGGGTGTTTGGAGGGGAGGAGGGTGTGGGGGCTACTGGTAAATCCTACTTCTGTGCTGCCTCTTGTGTCTCTTAATACCAATCTACTATCTGTCTCTCTTGCTTTTTTTCTCTCTCTAAGATGGTCATTATTGTGTTTGCCTGAAAATCCAACACCATCTAGCTCTTGCAGGACTTTATGGTCATTATTGTTACAGTGTTCCTAGAAACCTTTTCTCTCTTACTTTTCGTTCTTCCCTTCCTTTTATTGTGTCTTCCTGTTTCTGTTGCTCCTACCTGTAATACTGTTTATGGGGAATTTAACCGTTACCGAGTTTTGTGGTTTAAAATACTGGCCTTCTGGGTATCTACTTTGTCCGCTAGTATAGTTAATTTTTGGGTTTTTTTTGTTGTTGAAGCCATTGATATCTTTTCAGGTTGTATCCTTGTGTGTAAATGTTTCTATGTTTAAATCTCTTGTTCTATAGTGTTTATCTGTGAGGAAGATGAGGAATAAGTCCCACTCTAGCATGTTGTGCCCCTGAACGGCTGATGTGTTCCCTGCTGACTGTTAAGATTTAACCCTCTTCCCACTGGATGTTTCTGGAAGCTGTGGTGGAATCCCTCCCACCTACTTCTTTTCTGTTTTTTAACCATTGTTCGAATCTGTTTTCTTGTGAAGTGTAACCATGTCTCGCTGACTGAGTTGTAGTTAATTTCTCTTCCATTCTGCCACCTCTCCAATGTGTTGTCCTCTCTTCTGCCTTGTGAATGTAAAAAGAAGATGATACGTCTCCAGAGCTGTTATAATTTTTTCCTTTTCCTTGACTGACTTTGGGAATGATATGATTGGTAGCATAATTCGAGTGGGTGGTTGGCGGGTGCTCTAGTGTGGTTTGCCTCTTCTTTCCTATGAAACGTCTGTGGTCCTGATCTCCCCTTCTTCTTTTTTATGTTTGTTACTCTCTTGTAACACCTCTAATCTTCTGGTGCTCATATGGCCTTATTATGCAGTTGCGAGCACCGTAAATTCTCTACTAAAACAAAAAACTTAATTTTCTGGCGCTCACATGACCTAATGCACTTGCGAGCGCCATAAAACCTCTACTAAAATTAAAACTAAACATAATTCATAAACTGCCTGCATTCATGCTTTTAAAGTAATGGAAAGTCATTAGTATGTATGATCTGTGTGGAATACAAAATTTTCATTGTGAAATTGTATCAGGCTGCTACGCAGCAACACCTTTCCTAGAAATCCATACACTTTTTGGTATAGGAAATACTTTTTGTTGAAAGCTTAAACTAAGTAGAATGTTTAAAATTTCATGGAAAATTTATATTGTTTTGAAAATCTAGAAAACTTAACTAAGTGGTTGGTTGGTGGACATTTTACATTTTGAGCCTAGGCGCTCACATAACTGTTTCTTTTCTTAGCAACATACTACCTGTGTTAATAGACCCTTAATGTAAATTATTTTCCCCCTATTGTTACGAGTAATTCTGATCTGCATAGTTAACATTGATAGTTTGTTATTCTCATCAGCTTTTTGTCAAGTTTTATGGTCTTCTACAATTATAAAGATATGTTAGTTTTGGAATCTAAAGGAAATTGTTATGCTGTTTGATTGTATTAGTTCTTATCTTTCAAGTGCCTGTGAATTTGACTATATGATTTGATGCAGTCCTTATGTTGTTAAGTCTTAAGATGACCAAATACCATTGATCCTATACAGTCCCAATGTTTTCACATTCAAGATGACTGAGTGTTTCTATTTTCTTTTTCTCCCTCCGTCCCCTCCCATTCCTACTGTGGCACTGTTGTGTGTCCTACAGTGTGGGTCGTGACCAGCCAGGACTCTGGGGGTGATGATTCGGGCAGCAAGACACCGGCTACTGCTGGTACCTCACCGAAACCCGTGGAGTCTGGAGTTCAAGGCGGTGGTGGGGCGGCAGGCAACGCCCCCACTCTCAACTCGTAGAGCGAAGGAATGTCTTGAGACGCACAGAGGACCATATAGGCTGTCGGCCACACATACACTCGTTCATTCATATATTTATGATTTGCTTGGTTTAGTTCGAGGTTAGTGGGGTAGAACTCAAATGGTATATTGTACACATTTCCATGGTCTCGGGCGAACATCTATGTTACAGGTTTTTTTTAACCACCACTCCCTACTAACCCCCCCCCCCCCCCCCAGAATCAACTATTGCAAAAAGAAAATTACCCAAACTAAAAAAATATGGAAATAAAAACCAGACTTTTTCTATGCATTTTGAGGGAACCTTGTTGCTGGGACCATTAAGAATACTTGATACACTTTTGCGATGTTCTCATGTAATATGGATCAGTATGATGTACTTGGTTTTTGCCCGAGGCCATGGTTTCATATGTATTTTTTTGGGAGGGTACTCCATGTGAAAAGGGGGAAAGAGGTTTCTGCGCGTATGCGCTACATTTGAATTAGATCATCTATCATGTACAGTACGATCGTTTAGCTTTGTGAGATTAGACGTAATATTGTGTTGGTGATGTCCTTATGGAGGATTTTTTTTTTTTAAGTGAATTATTTTTTAACCCTTTTCCGTCATGAAAACTCCAGGGATTATTATGCATTTGTCCTAGAAATCCCACTATTTATGTACTTAGACTTCTGGTTTGCTTTGTACAAATTAAATGCGAAGGCAGGAGACTTTTTCTGAACAATCCTATGGAAACAAGTCATGGTTCTTTATATACATCGATGAAATTAATTAATAAGCAGTTAAAAGCTAATCGTTTGTAATTTTATATCGAGCTTGTTCTAGGTTGTTTTTTTGTTGTTGTTGTAGAACAGTGACTCTTCTCTTGTGAAACTGGTTTTAGGGAAGGCAAGGGACAACAATTAGTTCTCGAGGAGTACCGTAATACAAATGCTTCATTTTGTGTTAATGTTACCTTTGAGATGCAAGACTAGGCTCAACTGTCTTAAACATGTTTCGAAGATTTGTACCCCACAGTGAGGACATGCAGGAACACCCATACACACATACACACTCGCATGTGCAAACATTTGTATGTCTATTTATATATATAAATATTTCTTTCTTTATATATATGAATAAATATATCAAACTTCATTAAGATTTTCCAAAGTGTGTAGACAATTCTTCTCCATAAACTCAAGAGTAGTGTAAAGGGGCCGGAAATTGGAAGCTGTCATCATCGTGACTGTGCGTATAGACTCCCATTCAGTGACTCGTTTAATCAGCAGATAGTTGATGGTTTGGCTGGAGCAGAGCAGCCAATGAAATCCATTCATGGTGGTAAAAGTAAAAAGTCCCCCCCTCCCAAAACACCACCATTATTTTGAACAATGTTGACCTCATATGTGGATGGTGGCCACTGTGGGGTTGGTGTAATGTCTCAAAGGAAGAGAAAACGGATGGCTGTGATCATCGATGTATGCGAGAGGGATTGGAGGGGGGGGGGGGGGTCTTTTCTTTTTGCCTCCAGAGTAGGGTCTGGCCTCCTTGTGTCGCTGTCCACTCCCCACTTTGTCCTGGCTGGTATGTTGCGGACTACGTGGTATACCGTACACGAACATAGTTGATAGAGAGTGCTATTGTATGAGAATAGGACGGAGAGAGAAATGCACATTCTATGATGACATTTTTTTAATGAATGAGTTGAGCTTTTTGGTTTTTAAAAAATAATTTTTTTCCTCATATTCTTTTTTGTAATTGGAATCTCGGGCGAATGTGTGACCTAGTGTCCGTTTGGGGGCATTTCTTTCCAATGTTGCCCATCAGAACGAGGTAGAACCGACTTGTGATATTCTACAGCGTTATTGACATTACATTACTTGTATACTTGTGAGCCGTCGTGTACTATTGTTTCATTCTGGTCCTGTACACACCCTCCCTCCCTCCCACCTACCCACGCTCCCTTCCTGTTTGTTTTTTCTCACCTCTTTCTTCAATTTTTTTTTTGTATTGGTTTTTTTTTCAGTTACGGTATTCTCCTTTGTTGTAATAGATTTTTAACCTTTCCTTAGTGATGCTCTGGTGTAATTGTCATTTTTTTTCTCCTGATGTCTTGAGGGCTAAGAAGGAGTTTGGTGCTGCAGAAGAGCAGGAGGTCAGTAACTGAATTCTGTTTTGACGAGTAGGGTCTTTGGTGCTTTTCGCTGTATGGTCTTGTATTATGTCTGTCGGTCTTGGCCCAGATTTGGATGGAGATTTCAGAAACGGTGTGTGATACCCTCTTTTCTTTTGAGTAGCTGTGCCAGAGGGAACTGTTGGAGGGAGGAATGGGCCTCTCTTATGTCTTGTTCTTGATCAGTCTGCTTTGAGGGGGATGACCATTGGTCAAATGGACACGCTCGATCAGCACGATCAGATTGGGTACCATATGGAGGGCTGGCTCTCGTACACTCTCTGTGGAATACACCTCTGCTGTGCCTCATCAGATTCGACGGAAGTCCATAAACAATTATCGCATTCTGAGTGCTAACAAAAAATCGGACCCCGAAATGTCATGTGACTCAAAATTGTAGCCTCTGATATTAGTGATATATTGTTGGCCACAATTTTCATCGAATCGAACACAGTCATGATCTAGAAAATCCAACGTGTTTTGATTTTGAAGGATTTTATCTAATTGTGCCAAAATTGTAGCTTTTGCCTCTCCATGAAAGAAAGTCTGGCCACCTGAAATTTATCAAACTATATCAGATAGTAGGGATTTGATGAAACTTTTTGCATTGTGTGCTGGGTGTCATCTTTGTAAGTGTAAGTAACGGAACGTTATTGCTATGTGACTTTGCGTTACGCTAATGGCCTGATCTTACCTTACCAAACTGACCCAAAGTGTGTGTATGTGTGTGTGTGTGGGATGTTGGTCCCAGTCTTAGTTCCTCCTGCTACCACTGCTCCCCCTGCACTCTCTCTCCTCGCTCAGGAGACTTTGAGAGATGTGTAGCTGTAAAAATATGTCGGTTTATTCCACTTGTAACAAGCCTGTATAGTTGTGATAAAAACTCTTGTGTGACTTTTCTCTCATGTTTTAACCTTGTAGTACATATTTGTGTGTGTGGGTCTCTAGCAACAGTTGTATTATCATCCGACAGTCTTTGGAAAATGGTTTCTGAGATGCTTTCTTTTTCTGTAAGCCTGTTTCGTGGGTGGTAGTTTGATCTTGTCTCAACAAATTTATGTGGTGAACATCTGTCATGAGTCGTGTCTCTGAGTTCTGCTGGAGCCATTTCATTCAAATATATTGAAATACTGGTAAACATTGAGATTGTTGGTTGGTGGAAATATCATTCCTACAGTTTTTTAAAAGTTGGTATTGCTCGACTGCTAAGTGGAAATGCTTAGTTTTCTCTTTCATTGAATTGACATGGCCACGGTGTATTATTTCATAGATGGATTTTCCAGCACGTCTTTGTTATAATATGAATGTCACAGCTCTGTTGCAGTTGTACAAATCTTTGATTATGAACAAATTTAGAACATAATGTGAATTTTTAAAAGTCCAAATAAACTCCCCCCCCCCCAAAAAAAAAGGCACCCTGTCAAGTCAGTGGTTACTGTTGGGTGCTGCTGCCGTTCATGCAGAGCTATTAAAAACTTTTTAAAATATATTTTGGACGTTCAAGCATGATTGACACTGCTTCTCACGATAGCCTATTTGCTATTCTGACAAAGTTTGCTAGGTATGAATTGGCCTGTTGTGTCCGGATGTGGCGGGAACAAGAAGGAAAGGGGAGAAGCCGGGCAAAGAATTTCTGGGGCTTATTTATTGACTTGTTGCCTGCTGGTGTGGACAAGATTTGTGTTTGTTTTTATATAGAACATTCCAAAGACACAAGGAATCCTTTGGATTTGTTTCTTTGTTTGTATTTTTAATTAATTCCTTTTGTATCATATTTCCAAGTGATGATGTTACTTACTTTGTGTATTTACTGTGTATGTATGCAAAGTACTTTGGATGTGTGGCTCTTTTCTGTTTTGTACAAAATGGAAGTCATTGGAAAAAATGGGTGTTGACTTCATTGTGACTGGATTTGGGTCCTCATTTTATTTTCTATTTTTGTCTTTCTTTATTTCTCATTTAAGACCTTTTCTGTTGCCACGAGTTACAATACTTTGACAACTAAGGCCATTGTTTGAAGATGAGTGCAAATTTGGAAAGATTACTAATTACTTTGTGCAGTGTAGGATGTGATTTTGACAATTATTTCAAGATTTAGGTGAAATCCTAGTGCTTTTAATTTTTCAGTTCAAAGGGCATTTGTGCCAAATACAGAGACTTTTGTCACTAGTGTAGTGAGAACATATTCTGAGTTTTGTGTGCCAACTTTTCAGAGACAATACAAGCTCCGCCATGCTCTGTCAATGTTAATCATAATCCAGAGAATGTTATTTTCCTCTATGATAAGTAAATAATGACTGCTGATGCAGTATTTGCACAGTTTTTGGATTTGATAGAAGGTTGTGCACTTTGGGCTGCTCAGAGAGAATGTGTTAATGGAGGAGAAATGTAGAGGGTAAAGTGGGAATAATTTGTATGCGAAATGCATTAAAAAGAAATGTGTCGGAACTTAACTGACTTTGTACGAACTTTGTCACAGAAGATCCAATTAAGAAGTATGCGTGTTAAAAAAGATATAAAGCTTCATTTTACCTCTTGATGAAGTACACTGTTGGATATGTCATGTCCATTGTGCAATAATATTTGTGTTGGTTTCTGTGTTTTGTCTGGATTGTTTCCCTTTGGTTTCTTTTTTTCCCCTCGACTTGTTTTTGTTTCACTCAAAGAGTGGTTGCTGCTTGTTTCGTTTTTTTTTGTGTTTTAAATATGAAAGAGATGCACTAGTATAGATATTTGATAACATACAAATAATTGCTTCAAATTAAAAAGTGTTTTGCCCGAGAAGTTTGCTACTTGTGTAATTTATTTGTTTTTACGGTTTTCACTCCAGTTTTAAATTGGGTCTTATTTTCACACTCCTTGTCTTTATTTTGGACTGTACGTTTTTGCGTGGGTTCAGATTTTTGTTTGTTTTTCCCTTCACCTTTTCCCCTTCCTTTACTGAATGTTGTTGTTCCTGCAGGTTTCCCTTCCGTGCCCTGACTTTGTCCTGTGCTGGAATAGTTTTTGTAGCATTTAGCTGTTGGATAGTGGGAAGTCCATCTAGTATACGCAGTGGAAGTTCTCTTGTGTCATGTCAAGTTGTAGTGCAGTCAGAGGAATATTTATTCTGAGTTCGTTGGGAGGGGGCGGTCTTTTAGCTAAGTTGGTGTCTTGCTGGGCTGCGGTGAATGTGACCCTGGTTTGAATCCCCTATGGTGATTTCTTGAACTTGAGTCGAGTTTAAGGCTGTCTGCCTTCCTGGCTCCTGTCGTTATGTCAGTGGCAGACAATGAATAAGTAGGTCTTGCCTCTTGAATGACCTTGCAGTGTTCTAAGAAACTTGAAACTGGGACATTTACTTTGCTAAAACAAATTGTTGGTGTCGACCGATTCGTTTCAAGTGACTGAGCAGGACAGCTTGTCTTTGTTTTGTTCTGTCCTGAGGTCATTCATGTGTGTTGCTGTGTTTGACCAGGATGTCTGAACAAGCGAAGTCCCGAGTAGGAACCACCATGATTTACCCCCCCCCCCCCCCCCCCCCGCAGATTTCCTCTTGGATCCTTGTGCTCCTTGTTCTGGTTCGAACACATTCATTGTATCAGGTTGGAGTAGTGTAAGGGCGTGCCAGTTGCCTGTGTACCCTGTTCTTTGTCTTTTATTTTATGAAATGATCACACCCACCCTCGACCTCCTCCTCTCTTTTTTCATCCATTTTTATTATTAATATATATATATTTTTATTTTATTTTATGGACTCTTAGTACCCTAGTACACATCCAACTCTAAGGTTTGGGGGAAGGTGGTGGGGGCAATTGGACGGTTCTGCTTTAATGCCCTTAGAGACTTAATGACTTACGCAGTGCAGTTGAGATTTGAACACACACGAAAGAAAATCACTGTGACAAGATAACCAAAGATGGATGAAGATTCTCTCCCCCTCTCTCACCCCCCCCCCCTCTCTCTCTCTCTCTAACTTATATTATTAACCCCTATCACCCTAGAGGAATGGTGCACTTGGTCCTGTGGAGTCTTTGCTCTTAGCTTAGCCTAGTGAGTGGCTGCGGCAGCCCATGTATTGTGTTGTTGCATGTACGGTATATGTAGGCATGTCTGTATGTGTGTGTGAATGTGTCAGATTCTAGTTGTGAATGCTGACACTAGCTTAGCACATGATGCTGCGCTATTGGAGAAAAAACTTGTCTGAGTACCTATGTGTGTGTGTGTGTGTGTGTGCAAGAAGAGTTTGCAGTTTCTTCCATACAGTTACATTTTTTTTCCCTTTATTTTTTGGGGGTTTTCTGTTTGTCTTTGCAGTTATGTTGTATTTTCATTATTTGTTATAAATTTTTTATTTTTCTGGTCAATTTTTTTGTGCGTGTTTTGGTAAGAAAAATCATTTCCTTTATCTCAACTGTGTGATTTTGTTCTGATTTTGATTGTGTACATTGTCATTAATGTAAGAAATAAACTCGTAGACTAGAAAAAAAAGATGTCTTGTTCTTTCTTGTGTTTAGTAATTAGTAAATAAATGAGAGGCTGAGTCTGTTGAGGGGTGCTCTGGTGTGGCTTGCTCTTTTTTTCCTATCCGATATCTATCGTCATTATCTCTTTTTTTGGGGGGTATTGTTACCCTGAAGTAACACCTCTAATCTTTAGCGCCTTAAGGAATATGAACTAACTGTGTTGCAAATGCCGTAAGCCTCGTACTGAGTGAATGGTTGGTGGATGCTCTGGTGTGGTTTGCTTCTTTCCCCTTTAAACATCTATTGCCCTTATCTCTCCTCCTCTTTGCTTGTTGCTATTTTGTAACACCTTTAATCTTCGTCACTTAAATGACCGAATTGTGCTGCTAGTGCTGTTTAACTCTTACTAAAACAAAAACAAAAGGTGCAGGCCTACTGTACCGTATATGTAAGGCGAAGACTGAAGAACGAGTCGCTGAAAACTTTCCTCCTACTAGATGGTGTTGTTGACTTTACATTTATTTCATTGCATAATTCGACTGCCTCAGATTTTGTGTCTCCTACTCTGTCTGTTTTACTGTACCTAACAAAAGTCTGGGTTGTTTCTTAGGTGGGCCTATTTCTTTGGCTGTTTAATGTGCTGGGTAGGCCTACTTCATGACAAGAACTAGAACCCCCTGAGAGACCAATCCTGTAATATTATGACCAAGTTCTACTTTTTGTGCTTGGTAGAAGGTGTGACTCCCCCCGGGGGCGGGGCGTGCCACTGACTAAAGTGTCTTTAAGCCATCATTCCCAAAGGGAAAGGGGGGGGGGGGATTTCTTGTTCATGCACTACTGTAAATGGGCTGATTCATCTTGTCACGCACATAACTGTGCCTGATCTACAACAGGGAACTGCTGCCTTTTCTTTCCTAATCCTTACTATTGTCATTTTCCCTCTACTTCTTTTGTACGTTTGTCACACTCTTGTGACCCACTATTTCCGGGGTGCCTTGATAGTCGCAGCAGACTTTGTGTTGTTGAAGCAAGAGAGGTGAGCAGAGTTAGTCTGATTCCCTGTAAGGACTTCTCTGTTGACATCGACCCCTTGACGCTCATATGACCTTTTGCAGTTGCGAGCGCCGTAAAACCTCTACTAAAACTAAAAGATGTGACTCAGACTGGAACATGGGTGAGAAGTCCAGTCTTTTGCCTTGTGCTGTGAAGAAACATGACACAGCACGAGTTATGTTTTGTCTCGTTTCTGGCCCTGGAAACTGGAAACGAGTAACATTTCAACTCTCCTGCAGTGGCAACGTATTTTTGGCTTACCTTAGTGAATCAAGTTAAAATCCGCAGATTCGCAGATAGTTGGTATGCGCCACTGGTATTGGTAGGTCCTGCTTCTTTGATTACCTTCTCTTGTTTCTTTCTTATTTTTTTTTCTTAAGTGTGAGTGGTTGGCGGGTGTTCTGGTGTGGTTTGCTTCTTCTTTCCTCTCTAACATATTTCGTCCTTATCTCCCCTCCCTCTATTTTATGTTTGTTACTCTCTTGTAACACCTCTAATCTTCAGGCGCTCTTATGACCTTATGCAGTTATGAACTCCGTACAACCTTTACTAAAACTAACTTTTTTTCTAAAATGGCTGTCACTTTGTCCATGTCATTGTGCTTCTTTTAACTCAATCTTGATTTATCCGCTGGTGGTTGGAGGGCGCCACTGGTAGGTATTACTTCTTCCCTTTCTCATGATTCTGTTTGTTTGTCTTACTTTTTCCCCCCAGGTAAATTATGACCATTATTAAATAATATTAAGTCAATGTGTTTCTCGTTCCTCAAACAAGACAAACAACAAACTCAAATTATTGTAAGCTTTGAGTTCTGCATCCGCCTTTGTTGTAGTTCAAAAGCCAGTCTCTCACAACAAAGGCAGTGGGTGGTTGGAGTTGGAGGGCGCCACTGGTGGTACTGTCCTACTTCTTTACTTTCCCTCTGTTGTTTCTGTCTGTCTGTCTTACCTGTCGCTAGCACTAAAAGTGACCATTATTATGTCGATGTGATTCTCTTTACTTAAACAAACGACAAAGAGACGATCCAGATACACAATTAACTCCTTGGGTACCGTTTCGTCATCATCATCATCATCATCATCATCATCATCATCATCATCATCATCATCATC